TACATGTATTATTAGTGGTAATACCTAGTGCTGATCGGTCTACATGTATTATTAGTGGTAATACCTAGTGCTGATCGGTCTACATGTATTATTAGTGGTAATACCTAGTGCTGATCGATCTACATGTATTATTAATGGTAATACCTAGTGCTGATCGGTCTACATGTATTATTAGTGGTATTACCTAGTGCTGATCGATCTACATGTATTATTAATGGTAATACCTAGTGCTGATCGGTCTACGTGTATTATTAGTGGTTATATCCTATGAAACTGTTTGTTTAGTTCAAATGGTAAAGTAAAAACCGAACACAAAAAACACATCTCCTCGTGCCCATTTTTAGTTGTTCAGATTTTTGCCACTAAAATATCTGTTACACAAAGAACAATGTTAGTCCTATAACGTTTATAGACAATGTCTTTTTCAAGAGCTGCCCACTGTGGAGCTTCCAAGGGACAACTGGAGACTTTGAAGATTCTGGAGTCCAAAGGGGGTAACATGTGGCTGCCTAACATGCGTGGAGATTTGCCGCTCCACGAAGCCGTCCAATCGGGCAGAAAGGGTGAACACATTTTCTGACTTCTAGCCGGACGGTATTCGTTTTCATTATGAACTGAATTTATCACAGAGCTTAATTTCTGTCGGATCTCTCTGGATCTAAAATACGTTACCTGTTTCGTTTTTGTTTTGTTTTTTCATTAGTGGAAACACTAATTCGTTTTAAGACTGCCCCGATTACGTTGTCAATTAATATTTGATGTAATCAGCTACATTCCCCATTCGAACTATTAGCATCGATAATGAATCCGGTATTTCTTTCGTATAAATTAAGCACTGATGTATTGCATAATAGTAATTACTTTATCGTTTATACAGTCTTATCTTTGTATTGTATTGTTTGTAAGTTTTAATTATTATTGTATTGTCTACACCTTCTTATATTTGTATTGTATTGTTTATAAGTTTTAATTATTATTGTATTATTTACACCTTCTTATCTTTGTATTGTATTGTTTGTAAGTTTTAGTTATTATTGTATTATTTACACCTTCTTATCTTTGTATTGTATTGTTTGTAAGTTTAATTGTTATTGTATTGTCTACACCTTCTTATCTTTGTAGTGTATTGTTTGTAAGTTTTAGTTATTATTATTTTGTCCACACCTTCTTATCGTTCTTTTTGTATTGTTTCTAAAGTTTAGTTATTATTGTATCGTCTACACCTTCTTATCTTTGTGTTGTGTTGTTTGTAAGTTTGTTATTATTATTATTATTTTGTCTACACCTTCTTATCTTTGTGTTGTTTGTAAGTTTTAGTTATTATTATTTTTGTCTACACCATCTTATCTTTGTGTTGTTTGTAAGTTTTAGTTATTAATGTATCGTCTACACCACCTAATATTTGTGTTGTGTTGTGTGTACATTTTATTTATTATTTCGTCCACACCGTCTTATCTTTGTATGGTATTGTTTGTAAGTTTTAGTTATTATTTTATTGTCTACACAGTCTCATCTTTATACTGTATTGTTTGTAAGTTTTAGTTATTATTGTATTGTTTACACCGTCTTTTCTTTGTATTGTATTGTTTGTAAGTTTTAGTTATTATTGTATTGTCTACACCGTCTTATCTTTATACTGTATTGTTTGTAAGTTTTGTTTATTATTTCAATGTCTACACATTACAAACAATACAGTATAAAGATAAGACGTTTTGTTTATTATTTCAATGTCTACACAGTCTTATCTTTATACTGTATTGTTTGTAAGTTTTGTTTATTATTTCAATGTCTACACAGTCTCATCTTTATACTGCATTGTTTGTAAGTTTTAGTTATTATTGTATTGTTTACACCGTCTTATCTTTGTATTGTATTGTTTGTAAGTTTTAGTTATTATTGTATCGTCTACACCGTCTTATCTTTATACTGTATTATTTGTAAGTTTTGTTTATTATTTCAATGTCTACACAGTTTTATCTTTGTGTTGAATTGTCTGTAAGAAATACAAATACACATTGGTTTTAGAGTGAGAAGAAATTCTATATATGAAAAACCACTCCGCCAAAAATAGTGAAACGGTAACAACTGAGACTTTTATTATACATTGGACCTTAACTTTGGTAGTAATCTGCAGATTTGTCGTGAGCATGAAGTCCTCAACCAGGTTCAAGGTTCGATCGTTCTCATGTTTCTTATGAAAAAAATTAAATAAAAAAACAATTTTAGATATCTAAACACCTTTCGATGCTTTTATGTTTTATCTGTTCATAAGTTTGTCTCCTGAAACATAGTTTCAATAATCCCCACAAGAAGTCGCATAAGTTAATAACGTCTTACGCGATTGTTTAGTAAGGTCAAAAGGAGCGAAAACACAGACTATGTAGTATACAAACGCCTCACGTACGCTGTAAGTCGAATTTATTAAAGTTTCATAGTGTTGTGATAAAACACTTAATGCCTTTCCTCTTTTTTATTTTTTCACCAATAGATCTCGTGCTGTGGTTGCTTTCTGTAAACCCCAACGCTGTTAACGCTCAGAATCTTAATGGCCGAACAGCACTCCACATCGCAGCCATTACCGACAATGTTGAAATATGCAAAATTCTATTGGACCATAAAGCCAACATAAACCCCATCTTACAGACAACTAAGGTACCATTATATCTTGGAGACGTACTACTTGTATAATATCTTTCTTCGTCATTGATTATATTACCTGATGATCAAAACTTGTATAGATAAGTACTAAATTCAAAAGCAAACATTTGTAAAAACAGTTCTATAAGCGCACTACAGTTACTTGTCGTTTTGACGAAGTTTTCACAATTTGTTATTGAAAAATGTGATAAAATAAAACAGTGACTGAGAAACGTATTCATATATAATATTTAATTGCGTTATAAAACTGTTTTTGTGAAATAGTATTGCTGTTTGTTTTAGTGCAAATCTACAAAATGGGCTCTATCCATATATTGTAATAATATTAAGTTTTGTTTGTCCTGAAAATGCGTGCGCACCTTACTATCTAAATGCGCATGCGCGCGCACTTTATATTTCAACAGATGTAAACAGAAGGTGGGTTTAAAAGTACAGCAGTAGACATTCTGTACAACAACAAATTAAAAGCTTATCAAAGTTTTTAAAAAGGTCTAACGTTAGGTCGTAGAATAACAGTATAAGTTTATTTAGTGATAGTATTAAGTACGGTAAAGTTTAGCCCTAACTAAACTAAAACAAAAAACGTACACAAGTTACACTTACAGTATTAATTTTTTCTTTTAACGAATATAGGCCGTACTTAATAAAGGCTCAACTAATGTTAGGCCTAAGACAAATGTACTTGCAAGTTACAGATTTCAGTGTCTGCGATTAGAATTCGTTTGTATTATTCTAGAAATCCTATATTTAAAGAAGTACTGTTGTAATAAAGATACTAATC